CACTCCACAACAATGATCTTTTGTACCAGATATCAGAGCAGTCAATAAGTACCTGTATCAAATTTTATCGAGATCGGATCAGATTTGGACATAGCTCCCGTATATAGATATCTTTATCCGATATCAGGTTTTTGTGCACCAAATGGCAGTTTCGTTTGAATTCATACTAGAAACAAATATTTCAAATTTGGTGAAAATCTTCATCCGATTTTACATTTATTATCCACCATATATGTGATATCAGCCCAAATTGGAGAGATTTTCAAATAAGGTTCATAGTTGGTATGATCTACTTCACATAAACTCTCAATATAAACCTTTTTGTTATGGCAGCTCTACTAAATACGCATTGTGTAGGGTATCATACAGTCGGCCCCACCAGACTTTTGACCTTTCCCAGTAGGGAACCAGTAGGTTTATACTCACAATATTCTTGCAATTCCATCAACAGAGAACTGTACAAACGGCATTCTTTGCGGAATATAACCACCTTTTCATGTAGCTCATGGACCAATGGTAGCTTCTTGATAAAGAATTTCAGACTCTGGCCCAGAAAATCATCCTCAAATTCGTCATTTTCCCTGTTATTGCTTTCCTCTTCGCATAACTGTAAAATATCAAAAGGGAAGCCTAAAAGTATGCTTCAATTTTCAATTAAACTGTTGTTACTCACCTCTTCATCATTTTCATTCACCTCAGCTTCTGCTGCTGTTGCCTCTGCCATTTCAGTGCAAAGCAAATTCAAATGAAAATACTCCCCCAAAAAACCTTTTACCTCTTCCGCTGGGCTAACACTAAAGCTAAGCAGCTTCAAATCCGTTTCATGTTCCTCGTTGTATTTTTGTAAAATTTGTTTACACTGTTTGGCACTAATGACAGTTGCCACAGTTTCATTTAACATTGTTGCCATTTCATAGGAAAAAAAATTTCAAAATGTTGTTTATATTTTTTCTTTGTTGGCCGTTTTCCAAAAATATTTCGAAAACCAAAATAAAAACAAAATTGTTGTTGTTGCACTTTTCTTGTGTTGACACTTCTTTCTTGTTGTTGTTATTTTTTTTTTTTTTTATTTCTTATAACACTTTTGCAATTATGTTTTTGTTTTCTAGCTGTGTTGTGTTTCTGTTCTATTCTTGCCGACTTGTTAATATCCACTGACGGGCGGGTATGCATTTGTGAACGACTTTCTTTGCCCGGCACTTTTTTACACCTCCCTATCGGGCCGTTGCGTTGAGCGTAATTCTTTTTTAGTTTTCAGTTTTATTTATATTTTTTGTGTTTGTTTGTTATTTAATCTAATCGTCATTTACTCAAGTGTCCAACATTCATTCCCACCAACGTTATTCCATATCAATGAACGACCAATAAATTCGTTATATCTTCCAATTTATTAGCCCAATCGCAAAATGGACTCATTATATTTTTGCGTGCTTTGGCATTCCGTTCACATTTCTTGAAGAAATTATGCTGATAAAAAAGCACTTTTTTTTGGCTCATATCACAACGTGAGTTCTACACAGAGAACTGCGAAATATTCTTAATTGAAGTTGTATACGTTGCATTCTGTGCTACAATAGCAGCAACAACGCCAACAACAATGTCCATACAATAAATGTGCAAATATTTATCTGAAAGTGTACCCGGCTATCAGCATTTGTTACATGGGGCATCATATTTCATTGGAGGTGACAAGGTTGACGCCAAGCGGTATAAGGTTTTTCCTTACAATGTTTTTTTTTTTTTTTTGATAAAACAACATGCTCCGTGTGCTAATTGAAATGTAAAATTGAATACTATTTTGAAATAATAATACAAAAAATATAAATGTTTATTATTATTTTCTGAAGGATCGTGGTTGACATTTTTATTGCATACACAAAGGTCCAAACTTGTGTCGTTTATCAAAATACACTCTAATCAAGGAACATTTTTCTAAAAAAACAAAAAAAAATAAAAAGGAAATATGTCCTGGTATTTCAAGATGTCTTTCATAGAGAGTTAAAAACGAGGTTTTCGGGGAAATTTATTTATTTTCAAAATCTCAAATATTGTTTAAATATGTTTGTAGATTTATTTTTGAAGCTCCTTATTTTTTTCATAATAAAATCGCATTTTTTTGCCATTTTTTCTTGGTGAAAATAATAAAGGATATAATCCACTGCAGTGGGTATTTTTAAATTTTTGAGTATAGATCATGAGTTGTTATATATTTTTTGAAATAATATTTTTTTTTTTGTTTAATTTTTATACCATATAGCACACTGCAGTCAAAGTATTATGTCTTTGAGGTACGTCAGATATAAATGCCTCCGTAAAATTAAGTCGAAATTGATTTGTAGTTGGAGATTATATATTAGTTCCTTCTTATTCCAAATTATAACTGCTGTCTATAAACGATAATTTTTTATTGTATTTATTTATTATTATTTTTTTTTAAATTTTCACAGGTTTTTTTAATTTTTCTCCACTTCTCAATATTATTTGGGAGCCGAACCGATCTAGTCTCGTCTGTCAGTTCAGATAATAACATTCGGTTAAAAAATTCAAATTTTCAATCCAACCGCGAAAATGTTTAATATTTCCGATATATTTATACCCTCCACCATCTATAGAGGGTATATTAGCTTTGTCGTTCCGTTTGTAACTCCTCGAAATACTCATGGCAGACCCAATAAAGTATATATATTCTTGATCAGCGTAAAATTCTAAGTCGATTTAGCGATGTCCGTCTATCTGTCTGCCTCTCAAAATGGATACTACCGCCTAGGACAGAAAATTGTCTGTGCAGATCCACATCTTCGTATAGCCCCTATATAACGGTACCTCCTTATATTCGGTATTTTGATGATTTTAGTGACATCATTCACCGAATTGTTTCAAATTTTGTATTTGAAGTTCGTAATGAATACTAAAGCTTCTGACAGAAATTGTCTGTGCAGGTCCACGTCTTCATATAGCCCCCATATAACGGTACCTCCCAATATTCGGTACTTTGATGATTTTAGCGTCATTATTAGTTTCAAAGTACGTATTTAGATTTCGTAATGGGAACTACTGTCTGTGACAGAAAATTGTGTATGCTGGTCTTTGTATAGGTCCCATATATCAGTACCTCCCTATATTCGGTATTTTAACGATTTTAGGTACAATACTCACCGAAATTGTTTGAGATGTCGTATTTGAAGTTCGTAATGGATGCTACAGCCTGTGACAGAAATTTGTCAATGCAGGTCCACGTTTTGGTATAGCCCCCATATAACGGTTCCTCCCTATATACGGTATTTTGATGCTTTTAACTACATTATTCACCGTTTATTTCAAGCTTCGAATTTGAATGTGGTAATGGCTTATGACAAACAAAGCCAATGTATGTTCACGTCGTAGAATCCCAATATATTTTTAAGATTTTAACAGAATATTTAACGGATTTTATTTTTTGAAAATTTTCAAATTTGTTCCAAATGGTGGAGGGTAATCAAATTTCCGCCCAGTCGAACTTACTGCTTTTTAATTTATTATACCTCCACTTTGAAAAGGATGATATATTAATTTTGTCATGCCTAAATATTCGTCGCAGACCCCATAATGTATATATATATTCATAATCAGCATAAATTTCTAAGTCGATTTAACGATGGCCGCTTGTCTGTCTGTATGTCTGTTGAAATCACGATACAGTCTACATCATTTGACGTAGAGCTTCAAAATTTGGTAGAACGGTTTGTACTGTATCTAGGATAGATATATCGATCCTCGTTTTGGTACAGTCCCATACCTCCCGATATTCGGTATTATGATGATTTTTGCCATAGTTTTCACGGATTTGTCTAAAAAATTAGTATTTGTAGTTCATAATGGCTTCAAGCTCGGTGGCAGAACATTGAATATTTAGTTTCACGTTTTCCTCTAGCTCATATATAACGATACCCACCGATATTCGATGTTTTGATAATCCTAGTCACATTTACTCACGAACTTGTTTGAAATTTCGTATTTTAGAAGATTTAGTAGATGACAATTCTAAAGTATATAATTGTCCCGTTTTGATATGGCCCCATAAAACGATGGAGTAAAGATGTCAAGTTATGAAAATTTTCTCAGTTATATATATAGTTTTTAATTTAGTCTATAAGGATTTTGTAATCTATAGACTTAGGAAAAATAATAATAAAAAAAATAAAGTGGAACATGCTTGAATTCAGATACTTTTATATAAAAGTGTTTCCTTTGCCCAAAGGTGAAGGGTATTAAAAATTTGGCCCGGCAGAACTTTATGGTTTTTTTACTTGTTGACATTTTATTTTTAAATATTTTTTTGTTTGTTTGGGCATAGTTTCTTTTTTCGAAAAGATGGATGCTCTTTTTTGAGGATATAATATTGAGTGTTTTAATACGAGGATATAATCGATAGTTCCTTGTTCAATATAAATTAAGAATAAATTCGGAATAAAAAATGTGATTTTTAAGATTGTTTTCGAAGACATAATGATTAATTTTTTTTGATCGTGGATATTATTATGCTGTCCCCTTTTTCAATATTTTTAATAGTAAATTAAGCTCTCGTTTTTTTTTTTTTTTTTTTTTTTTTTTTGAGATCTTTTATCACTATAGAAAACCTTGAGGAATTATTTTGTTCATAGATAGCGTTGGGGCTGTTCTATTTTCTATAGACGACCTTTCTATTCTCTTTGTAAGACTTTGATATATTCTGATTTCTTTAGAAGATCTTGTGTATTTTTATTTTCATGAGAACTTCTTCCATTTTCCATAGAAGATCCTGAGGTCTTCCCGTTGTTATTGGAAACATAGAGATTCTATTATATCTATTTGAGTTTTCTATTGTATTTTCAATAATCTTGGGGTCATTATCTTAAACAATCAATGATGCTCAAAAAATTAAAATCATATTTAAGCCTGATATTTTAATGTTTAATATTTGTCTCAGTTTAATCATGCAATGTTTTATTTGATCACTTATTTTTTTTTTAGAAATGTTTATAACATGAAAGTTGTTGACAGTTTTGATTATCTTCATCGTGCGGCCAACCAATTTTTTTCGTTAAACTTAATAAATGTTCCACTTGAATTACTGCTGCCTTTGCTGACGTAATTGACGCTTCTTCGCCATCATGCTGCCATAAGGACGTATAGTGGCATAATACAAAATCTCCACAAAACTCAAGAGGCTGGCTCCCACAAACAAACCAGTAGTTCCACCAATTGATACTAAAATAAGTAAAAGACAAAAATTAAACCATAAATATTAGATCTTCGCCTTATCAAGACAAAACTCAAAAATTTTATATTTTTTTCGTCGAATAAAAAAAAGCAAAAATCTAAAATTTAAAATTTTTAGCTGGAATGGTATTTTTATCCGCATTTACTATATTATCGATTATTAGAAATAGTTGAAATTCTATTGTATACCATTTCATTAAAAGTTTTCGTGATTCTTACCAACCAAATCCAATTTTCCTCTGACCAAATTTCGTTTATAACGTTCCGTTGGCAATTCCACCAGAGCTATTTCCACCTTGGAATATGGGATTTGACTGTAAATACTAAAAGAAGAAAATGTAAATCAGCAAAACAAGCAAGATAAAAACCAAATCATTGGTGTCGTATGAGTAACATAAAAAGATATCTAATATATTCCTCATACGCACACCTATAATCAAACAATTCCGATAAATAATGTCGCTAAAATCATCAAAATACTAAATATCGGGGGTACCGTTATATGGGGGCTATACAAATGCGTGGACCTGCACAGATAATTTTCTGTCTTAGGCTGTAATATCCATTACGAACTTCAAATGCCAACTTTGAAATAATTTCGGCGAATAATGTCGCTAAAATCATCAAAATATCGAATATCGGGAGGTACCGTTTTATGGGCGCTATATGATAACTTGGACCTACATGGCCCATTTACGAACTTAACCTGCCTACTGGCAAAATATACATGTGTGCAAAATTTTAGCCTTCTATCTCAATTTGTTCGAAAGAAAGCGCGATTACAACAGACAGACGGACAGACAGACACATAGACAGACAGACGGACATGGCTAAATCGTCTTAGAATTTTACGCTGATCAAGAATATATATACTTTATTGGGTCTGACATGAGTATTTCGAGGAGTTACAAACGGAATGACAAAATTAATATACCCTCCATAGTATGGTGGAGGGTATGAAAAGAAAACATAAAAAAACACCTCTTACTTATCTTTGCTATCCACCGCCGTTGTAATATCCACCTCCGTGCACGAGGGCAAACAATCACAGACCAAACCACGACGACTCTTCGACCATTTGGCAATAATCACCGATAAATCTTCATAGTTGCGATTCAAACACTCCAAACCATCCATGTTGCACATCTGATGACTGGGTGTATTGGGGGCCAAGTGACTGGAGCAGTTGCACAATTCCAACTGTCTATCCTTCCGACACTGCACCGTACACGCACTGTAACTGTAGTAGCGATGCACATCCAAATTATTCTCATCGTTGAAGCGACAATTGCGTTGCGATATTTTCGTGTCGCGAATTTCTTCGTCATTCTGAATGTCATGCTTGGCAATGTGGCGACTAGAAAAGGAACAGGGGTGTATACATGAGTAAAATAAAATTTTTTTATAAAATTATATGGAGAACTTACACAAAGGATATATAGGGACTCACAATGAGATAGTCAGTCTTTGGGGTGACCAATGTGGGAACTTCCTCTTCGCCCAAAATGAAAACCTCAAAGGAGAGAGAAACAATTTACAATACATACATTGTCTAGAAGAGAGGAATCTATTGAAGTTAAAGAGGATGAAATTGTCCTGACAACCCCAATCAGTAGGAGTTTAAAAAAATCGTGAATGAAAATTATATTTTTGTTGATATAAATGTCGATTTTTATACCCTCCATATACAGTATGGAGGGTATATTAAGTTCGTCGTTCCGTTTGTATCTTATCGAAATAATAATTTTAGACCCAAAAAAGTATATATATTCTCGATCAGCGTAAAATTTTAAGACGATTTAACCCTGTAGGCCCGTACGTCCTTCTGTTCGTCTGTTATAATCACGCTAAAGTCAAAACGAATTAAGATAAGAAGCTAAAATTTTGCACAGATCTGTATTTTGTCTACAGGTAGGTCAAGTTCGAAAATGGGCTATATCGGTTCACGATTTCGTATAGCCCCCATATAATGGTACCCCCCCGATATTCGGTATTTTGATGATTTTTCCCACATTTTTCAATGGAATTGTCTGAAATTCTACACAGGGAATTCCTTGTGAGTACTTTATCCCCTGGAAGAGAATTATCCATATAGGTCCACGATATAGTATGGCCCCATATATAAAGGTACCTCCCAAAATTCGGTATTTTTATGATTTGATCAAAGTTTTTCAATGGAATTGTCTTAAAATCCACACAAGGAGTTCCTTTTGAGTACTTCACCCCTTAGAAGAGAATTGTCTAAATAGGTCCACGTTTTAGTATAGCGCCCATATAACGGTACCCCCAGATATTTGGTATTTTCACAATTCCTGCGACATTATTCACCGGAATTATTTCAAATTTCGTATATAAAGTTCGGAACCGTTACTACAGCCCATGACAAAAAAATTCGTAAGCAGGTCCACGTCTTCGTATAGTTTCCAAATTACAGTAGTAGGGTAGCCCGACGTGAAGGAAGTTCAAGGAAGAAAACAGCAACATCAGCAGAAATGGTTCGAAAAGTAAAGAAGCGACTTGATCGAAAACCACGTCGCAGGGGCCGAAACATGGCTCGGAAGCTGAACATATCGCAATATTCCATTCGGCAAATATTTAAAAATGAGCTCGGGATAAAGAAATTGAAATTCCAAAAAGTGCAAGAACTTACACCGCATCTGAAAGAAAATAGACTCAAAAGAGCTAAAGAGTTGCTTCGCTTGGCCGAAAGTGATGAACTGCCGAATTTGGTTTTCTCCGATGAGAAAACATTCGGTGTCTCCGCTAATAATAATGCCGAATATTATCGCGAAAATATTCTGGAGGGTTTTTAAAGCATTGGGCACGCAAACATTTTGGCCGCAGACCTTGGGCATTCCAACAGCACTCAGCACCATCGCACTCAGCACGCGCCACCCAAGAATGGTTACACAATGAGGTTCCTCGTTTCATTCCCAGCGCACAATGGCCACCAAAATCTCCGGATACCAATCCCTTGGACTATTGTGTCTGGAGTATTTTGGAAAGCAAGGTTGGCAATAAAAAATACCAAAGTGTCGATCACCTCAAGCAAAAGCTTCGTCGGGAATGCGCCAAAATACAGCAGAGCAGCATTCGAACAGCGTGTGACGGTTTCATTGGCCGTTTGAGGGCAATAATTCGTGCCAAGGGTAACCAATTCGAACAAATCTATACTTATTCTAAAATTTGATGTTATTTCCGACATTTTTTGCTTTCATTCAATCAAATTAAAAAAAAAAATTAAAAATTATGGCCTTTGACTTTTTTCCAGTTTTTTGTCTTACCCTGTATAAAGGTTCCCTCAAATGAATTTTATAAAAAAAAATGTTTTTCAAGAATCTTCCGTAGTTAAGAGGCCTCTCAATTAACCTCCATGCATAGAATGTGGTTCAAGGTTCTTTAAAGGATAAAATACTTCCCAAAAGGTTTTTAGCAGGGATAAAAGGCACACCATTTCAGAAGACCTCTAAAATGTTTTCCATTTTCCAGATATCTCACGGATCATATATTCAAAAAATTTATGACCTAAAGATATTCTTTACACAGAAAGCCCATTTATGGCTTCTCGATGAACCTCTAAAGTGGCTGCACGTTTTTTGCAATTCTTTTTTTAGTATATGCCGAGTAAAGGGCTTACCCAAAAGAATGAAACGATATTTTCGCACCCGAAAGAGTCTAAGCCGTTATTGCGTATTGTCACATTTTGACCCTATCAAATAATATATACCCTCCTCTAGCCCTAAGGCTGTGTATACCAAATAATGCCACACTTACCACAGCTTCTGTGTGAATATCCAACTTCAAATTTCCCGGTCCAGTATAGCGATTTGACCACATATTCAGCTTAGGTCCTTCATTGTTCCTACAAAAAAATATAATTTTGAATTCATCTTTCTTAAAAAAAAGTTCGGAAATTCTGTCTTACCCCGCCTGCAGCGAGTTAATGGCATAGCACAAACCCAACTCCGTTTCCATGCGATGGAAAAATTTACAACACTGAAATGGTTTATTGTTCCACATACAATTCTTGATGGTACTCTCACAGCTGCTGCGCACCAACTGAGCATAGTACGAGAAATTACTGTAGAAACAATTCTCTGAAGGCTCTTCGCCACCACATTCATGCACCGTGTGATAGGATTCGCCACGAAAGAATGCAATTTCACTGAGAACTTCTTCCAGGGTGAAATCATGATCGGCGCCCCAGAGTCTAGGAGATCTTTTTTTTTTAATTTTCAATAATGTTATTAGGAATGTGACTTACTGTTCCGCAACCTCTTGTATACGATCCATATTCTTGGATTCACACACCACAATGGCCGGGAAGTTGGTTTCCCAATCCCGATAACTGGATTCGACACCAAAACTAATGGCATTGTTTTCGAAGGCATCTGGAATTGGTAAAATATACCGAAAGAAAATAATTTTAGAAACCATAGTTCTTGGAAAAAAATGTGAAGGTCGAGTTGAATATTGAATTGTGTTAAAATATTTAGAACAAAATCTACAATGATACACAAGATAAATAAATAATGGAAGCTCTAAAAATTCCCCAGAAAGGTTACATAAAAGTTCTTCAAAAATATTAGTAAAAATCCACCTTATACCTCTCAAAATCGCTGAAAAATATTATTTACATGACTTTACCAAAATATTCTTTTAAAATCCGCGACTATAGCTCCTTGAAAATATATTCTTTAAATTCAGAAAAAAATCTACGATAATTAAAATCTCTGAAAAATTGTTGATCCCATTGTCCTTAAAAAATATTTTTATTTAAAAACTCTATAATTATACCGCAGTTAGTCCCAAAAAATATTCTGGAAAAAAATTCTGTCCCTAAAAAGTGTTCTTCAAAAAATTTGCAATTATAGGTCGAAAAATATTCTCGAAAATCCATAGCTCAAAAAATCGTATCCTTACCCAACGACACTTTAATCAACTTCCACGATGCAAACCACGAGGCCACCAAACACACGGCCCAAAACAACTTTTCCATCCAGGTTAATTCCTTGTCGACAATGAAACGTGCTCCATGCAGTGTGGAATTTTCCAAATATTCCTTAGCCACATCACGTAGACGCATCATTTTCACTTCAGGATACCTTTTACTTTAAATGACCGAATAAGAACTGTTTATTTTTCGAGGTGATTGCTTTCGATTTCACCTCTGGCAATTTGGAGATTTTCGTAGATTAATTACAGTCAATTGTTTGTTAAGCTGCGGGCCATGTCGTGCGACAGATGTAATTATCCTCTTAGAGATCGCTTATCTGTGAAAATGTTTGGCAACATTTGTTACCATTCTCACGTCGAACAATTCACAGATATTAAATGAGGATAAATGTACAACGTAACAGAATAAGCAAAATACATTTTAGTCTTTGTATACAATTGTGGCAGTAGAGTATCATATTGTGCCTCCAAAAAAGTACCAAAAATTATATTATTTCTAATAAAAAAAAAATGTGAAAGATTTGCAAATAAAAAAAGAAATTTGCTTCGAATTTATACTAAACTAATTTTCTAAATATTAGTCGATGAATGGAACAAAAAACATCCTTAGTTTAAATCTCGTTAAACTTTCTATATATGTTAGGACCTGAAAAGCATTCTTAAAAAAATCATGATTATAGTTCTTCTATTCCCTATTTTTATAACCTTAGCCATATGGCTACAGAGGGTATATATCATTTGATACGGTCAAAACGTGCCTGGTCGAAGTAAAGGTCTCTTTGGACCAAATCCGTTTCAGAACATTTGGAGTCGATCTAGCGATGTCCGTCCGTCCGTCTGTCTGTCTGTCTGGTTGGTGCGCACGATAACTCTCGATGGGAGTATCTGATTTGGTCCAAACTTGGTACATCGTAATACTTACATCGAGTTCGGAGATGGGCAATATCGGTCCACTTCTTCTGGTACCTCCCCCACAAAAGGTTGAAATTTTCAAAAAAAACATATTTTTTGCACAGAAAGTGAAAGGATAATCCGATTTTGCTCCAACTTTGCACATTCTAATATTTGCGTACGCGCTAGGTCAGGTCTGAAAATGGACAATAACGGTTCACTCCATCAAGTACCTCCCCCACAAATCGTCAACATTTTTAATAATTACAACTCTCATTAAATGTGATGTAAGATTCCGATTGTCTTCAAATTTCACAGGTGTTAAGATGGAAATTATCCAAATTTTCAAAAAATACATATTTTTTACACAAAAAGAAAAACGATAATCCGATTTTGCTCCAACTTTGCATATCCTAATATTTGTGTCAGTGCTAAGTCTGGTGCGAAAATTGACAATATCCGTCCGCTCCTTCTGGTACTTCCCCCACAAACGCTCAAATTTTTGAATATCCATGAAGCTCATAAAAAGCAAAATCAACATCCGATTCCATTCCAGACATTATACATCTCAATATTTTCATCAACACAAGATCTGTTATAAAGATGGTAGAGATCGAACTATTTTTTTTTGCTACCTGGTCCACATAGGAAATAAGAAAACCCACTCCATAGAGGATCAAGAGTTTGAAAATTCATAACAGAAGTCAAAATATTTTTAAATAAGCTAACATTGGCTGAGGGTATGTATCTGTCGGCAAAACCGACCGATATTTTTTTACTTGTGTTTTAATTCAACGGTTATAAAAAAATCAGATCAGATACGGGATAAATATTATTATTAAACAAGTAAAAAAGCAGTAAGTTCGGCCGGGCCGAACTTTGAATACCCTCCACCATTTGGAACGAATTAGAAAATTTTCAAAAAAATAAAATCCAATAAAAATTCTTTTAAAATCTTTAAAATATCTAATATAGGAAAGTGCCGATATATGGGGGGATATACGTTATTGTGGACCTATAAAGACAAATCTATGTCTGCGTGTAAAGTACCCTCAAGGAACTCCGTGTGTGGATTTTCAGACAATACGATTGGAAAATGTGGCTAAAATCATCAAAATACCGAATATCGCGGGGTACCGTTATATGGGAGCTATACGTTATCGTCAACCTATATAGAGAATTGTCTGTCGGGGGGTAAAGTGCTCACAAAGAACCCCCTGTGTACAAAGAACCCCTTGTGACCATTCCGTTGAAAAATATGGCTAAAAACATCAAAATACCGAATATCGGGGGTACCGTTATATGAGGGCTATACAATATCGTAGATCTATATAGATAATTCTCTGCCGAGGTATAAAGTACCCACAAGGAACTCCTTGTGTGGATTTTCAGACAATTCCGTTGAAAAATGTGGGTAAAATCATCAAAATACCGAATATCGGGGGGTACCGTTATATGGGGGCTATACGATATCGTGGACCGATATAGCCCATCTTCGAACTTGACCTGCCTGCAGACAAAAGAGAGATCTGTGCAAAATTTTAGCTTCCTATCTTAATTCGTTTAGACTGTAGCGTGATTACAACAGACGGACAGGGCTAAATCGTCTTAGAACGCTGATCAAGAATATATATACTTTGTTGGGTCTAAAATGATTATTTCGATGAGTTACAAACGGAATGACGAACTTAATATACCCTCCATACCTTTTTTGGTGGAGGGTATAAAAACTTACATTATATTGAAAACGGTTAAAACCCCCAACTACAAAATTTAAATACGAAATTTAAAACAATCTATCTTTAATGCCGCTATACCATCAAAATAAAGCCTGAAGTAGGATTTAAGATATATATGGGAGCTATATCCACGTCTGAGTCGATCTCGATAAAATGGGGCAAAGATATCTGGTACAACATATCATTGGTGTGGAGTACATATATCGAATGTGAGGGACTTCAAGACCAAATCGGATGAAACATACATATGGAAGCTTAGCTATATATGAAACGATTTTCACCAAATTTGATGTACTTGCTTCTAGACTAAATTCGGTCGGATGTGCCAAAATTCAGGTCATTTGGTGCACAATTAACCCGAAATCGGTTAAAGAAATATTTAGGCGCTATATCCAAATTTGAACCGATCTTTATTAAATTTGGCAGAGGTATTTCTGGGCTGAATCTGATCCCAAATATCTGGTACCAAATATCATTGTTGTGGAGTGCATAATAACAATGTGAGTGACTTAAACACCAATATCACTTTCTCGGAGAGAGTTAAACACCAATATGTGGGAACCATGGCTATATCTGAACTGATTTCACCAAATTTTGTGTACAGGGTTGCCCATTTTCGACGGACCTTTGGACCCTTTGGGCCAATTCCAATCGACGAGGCTTGTCCGCAGGCAACATTCTTTGCGTCAATTGAATTTTGTACGGGAACAAATGCAAATCAATGCGAATAATCCGTTGTAAAGTGGACCGAGCCATGCCCAACTGCTGAGAACGGCGTTTTTGGGATGTTCTTGGGGACCTCTCAACACTGGCTCGTACGGCAGCGATATTCTCGGCCGATCGCCTTGGTCGACTTTTATATGGCCTCTTCGGATTAGAAAGAGCCTTACCAGTCGAAAATTTTTCGTATAAGTGCTTAATGGTGTTCTTAGAAGGCGCACTTCTCACATTTTTTAATGTTTTAAAAGCACGTTGAGGCTTCACAATTGACTTCTTCTGTTGAATGTAAATTTCAGAGCGCTCGCGTGGCGTGTTTTGGTTCATGGTAAAAATCTCCTTGGACTGACGCTTCAAACGCGGTATTTCATTAAGCGATGTGACATCTCTGTCAAAAGTTATGGCGTTGCCAGATGGGTCCGTCGAATATGGGCAACCCTGTACTTGTTTCTAGACTTAAATCGGTCGGATGTGTCAAAATTCAGTTCATTTGGACCGTTTGGTGCACAATTAACCCGAAATCGGTTGAGTGGGAGCTAAATCTAATTTTGATCCGATTCTCATCAATTTTAATATGGTTCGTCCTTGGTTCAAACAAATATTGTTTGGAAAATTTCATCTCAATCGAATAATAAATGTGACCTTTCTTTGTTCACAAATATTCATGGACAGACGGACGGGCGGATAGACGGACCAACATGTATAAATCGACTCAGAAACTGATTCTATGAAGATCCTCAAAAGTAACTATGCATTTATCTCTCTTCCTTTTTCATCTTACAAACAAATGCATAAAGATATAATACCCTTAGCACTCTATCTGGTGTAGGGTATAAATAGGCAAATTTTTGATAAAACCAAATTTTTTTTATAAAAAACACTTTTATTGTTATTAAATATTATCTCAAATATTATCTCAATTGTACTTATACAGGATACATCTCCGAGATACATTGTGTTATAAATTTTATTAAATATACATTTTTATACAGTTTGCTTGTATTTGTATACAAAATACAGTGGAATCTCTCTTTTTATAAAGCAAAAAAGGCCGATATGATTTGACCGATTCGCAATACTTCAACGATATACTCAAATTCATTTATTCTCCTCCTCCCTTTTCTAGGATATAATTATCTACAAAATCCTCCAGCATATCGGAGAGTCTCTGGTGATAGATGTCATCGTTATGGAATGCCTTGAGACATATCTCCACTCGCTTGCGGGCAAAGAAATCACTGAAGCCATCCGTGGAGGCTGTCAAGCTTAGAGTCGATTCCGGTGGCAAGACAATGAAATGGCAAAAGAAACAACTTTCAATCAGGCCACAAATTCGATATAGCTCAAAGGTGTGCCAAAATTCCGCAGAGCTTAGGAAATTATCAATATTCAACTGTTCACGTTTTAAAAATTCCCCCATAAAACCATAATACAACTTTAGCAAATCCATCAGATGTTTGGCGCGAAATTCACGTGAGGTGGGTATGGTTAGGAGGGTTATTAAATCCAACATAGGCGGGGCATAGCGCGACAATTGAAAGTCCACAAGGCGGCATTGTAGTGAACTTCCATCATGTTTGTACATGAGATTATTGGCCCACAGATCACCGTGGCAAAAGACATTGCGAAATTCCGTGGAAGGTTGGGCCAGTTTAAAAATAATTGACATTTTAGGTCTTAAATTCTTCAAAATGTAACCAGTTTGACCCGCATATTTAGGCATTGCTTTAATCAATTCCCCAAAAACCTCAATGCCATTAACAAAATTCTGATAGCGCACATGTTTGGGATCTAGATTTTCTGGATAGGCATCCTCTTTGATGGCCAGGGGATATATTTGATTAATTTTCACATTTTGCTTGACCTCAAACACAATTGAGGCTGCATGCAAGCTGGCTAAGGCTTTAACAGCACTCTGCAAATGCTCATAATCCAATAGGCCATCCCTTCCAGCGGCCATTTTATAACCCAAATGCTGCAACTCTTCAAACACCAAAAGATGATTATCGGCATAGTAGCATTTTGGAGCAATTCCTGGACATATATTCTGCAGCCGGGGCAAGACATCGCGATAGACCATTATCTCCTTTTGGAAAACACCAAATTCCTCCAAATACTCCATGTGTGCGACATTCCCAACAGGTGCCGCTTTGGTGAAGAAGCGAATTCTATTAAAGGCTATTGAATCTCGTCCATTCTCACTGTGAGTGGTTACCTGGACATCTACCACCAAAAAATGATGATGGCCAAAAAATCCCGATGGGCTATCCGAAATTGGTTGCAACTGATAGCGAATTACATTGAGATTTAAATTTTCAGAAGTTCCTCCATTTGCCGTTTCCGTGACCCCCTGATGACCAAAATATTGCTGACACAATCGTTCGACCTCATTGCTGGATATTTTCACTGCCGTGGCCATGTTCGGTGGCTTTTCCGTTCAATTCGTTTGTTGGTGGTCTCTTTTACTCGTTCACTTGCAATGCTACAACAATGATCTTGAAAATGAGATATACTTTAGTTTAGCTGCTATTATCTTAAGTCATAAACATGTTTATGGCGCCCAACCGTTTTGTGTCATTAAGTTACTAGGATAGGGGTATCTATTTAGATAAATGTTGTCGTGAGAGTTTAATTTTTAAATAGAGTTTGTTTGGAAATGGATTATAAAAAAATATTATTTTATTTTTATACTCTAATCCGCTACCCCTGCTAGTCTTGCTATTTCTGTTTAATTCCCATGGAATTTTCCACCTCTTTAGATATGAACAAATTAGAATGTATCAGTAGGTTTTACCGGCATCTATATCCCCTTACTGCATGGTGCATACTATTTCGTCATTTCGATTGTAAAACCTACATATATAAATTTTCGACCCCACAAAATATATACATTCTTAATCTGTCTATCTTTATGTTTGTCTGTGGAAGTCACTCTGGCTTCCGAACCAAATTAAGTAGGTTGATACAATTTTACTCAGATGCTTTTTAGGTCTTCGGGACTTTTGGTATTGAATATTGGCTTTTTGTCCCGACAGATTTAAGGTTTTTTGGGTGTTTTAGTCGCCATTTTCAAACCGAATTTGCTGTAATTTGGCAGCATGTGTTCCAATTATGTAAGAAGCATAGAACTATCAATATAAATTTGGAATTTGAAGTTCCTTGAACAGGTGCAAAATTTTGAATTTTATCAAATTTGTATTTGAAGTTCATTATGGGTACAGAAAATTGCTTCGTATAGTCCCCATATAATGGTTCCTTCCTATTTTGATGATTTGAACGACATTATTTATCGGAATTTTTGTATGTTTCATATTTGAATATCGTAATGGCCAATGATAAAAATTGCATATACAGGTCCATTTCCAAAAGCACCTCCATATCCCAATTCTAGATACCAACAGCGACCTCAATATTAAATTTGAGGCTTCCAACCCTATCCCCTCAGTAACATTTAGTACTTTTCATACAAATATAAAACACAATTCCGAAATCACCTGCATATGTCGAGACAACACATAAGCAGTGACCATAATATCAAATTTCAGATTTCAAGCACTATCTTTACCCCTAATACAAACTGTACCAACTTAAGTATACATAAGTAGGAATTTCCAAAACTTCCCACATACCCCAATCCTACACTCAAACAGTAATCTTAATTCCAAATTTCAGGAAATTGTACCAAATTTAGTACATATGAGTACGAATTTCTAAAAAATCCTACATACCCAAATTCTACACTCAAACAATAATCTTAATTCCAAATTTTAGGATTCTAGCCTTATTGGTTCACCAAAATCCAAATTGTACCAAATTTAGTACCATTTAGTACATGTAGGTATGAATTTCCAAAACTTCCTACATACCCCAAATCTCTAACTCAAACAGTAATCTGAATTTCAAAATTCAGAATTCCTGCCCCATCGATTCACAAAAATCCAAATTGTACCAAATTTAGTACCATTTAGTACATATGAGTGCGAATTTTCGAAAACTTCCTACATACCCCAATTCTACACTCAAACAGTAATCTTGATTCTAAATTTCAGGATTCAAGCTATATCGGTTTACCCAAATCCAAATTGTACGACATTTAGTACATCTTAGTGCATATAAGTACAACTTTCTAAAACTACATACATCATACAATCCAATAGAAATCTTGTTTTCATTTCAAATTCTTCCGGTTCTCCCAAAACATAAATTGTATCAAACTTTTATTTCACACCACAGCCCTACAATGCCATAATTATCTAATTTCCAAAGATTAGCCATCGCATCGATTCACCCAAATAAATTAAGTACCGTTTAGTACTTTTCGAGTACATGACTACACACTTCCAAAACTACCTCCTTACACCGTCTTTACTCCTTAACATTGATTCCCATTTCAAATTTCAAGTTTTTCGTTCTAACCGTTCACATGATATGAAATGGTACCAAATGTTGTACATTTTGGTACTTTTCGTACACTTTCAGTGCGAACTTCTAAAAACCTTTTTGTTTATCTATCACTCCATCAGTGACCCTCATTCCTAATTTAGTTCCACTCTCTACTGCTTTCTCAGATAGAAAAAGGTACCATATTTAGAACCTTTAATACTATTCGTACCGTTCTATTGCGAATTCCCAAAAATCCAGCCTTATCTGACCCCTTCGGAAAAAGAGTGACCCTTACCCGAAAACTCAAGATTCTAGTTTCAGTGGATTTTGATGAATCGTTAAGTTAGGCAGTCAATTATTTTACTCTATTTATACCCTCAGCCATATGGCTAGAAAGGGTATACATCATTTGATACGACAGAAGTGCCTCATCGAAATAATGGTTTTAGACCCTAGGTCTCTGTGCACCAAATCCGTTTCAGGTCACTTGGGGTCGATCTAGCGATGTCCGTCCGTCCGTCTGTCTGGCTGGTGCGCACGATAACTCTCAAAGGGAGTATCCGATTTGAGCCAAACTTGGTACATCGAAATATTATTGACAAACTCATATCGAATTCGGAGATGGGCAATATCGGTCCACTCCATGTGGTACCTCCACCACAAAAGGTCGAAAATTTCAAAGAAAATATTTTACTGCACAGAAAGAGAATGGACAATGCGACTTTTCACCAAATTTTCACATTTTAATATTTGCATCAATGCTACGTTAGGTGCGCAAATGGACAATATCGGTCTACTCCATAAAGTACCTCCCCCAAAATGGGTCAAAACTTTGTATAATTATAACTCTCATAAAATGTGATGTAGGAGTCCGATTGTCTTCAAATTTCACAAATCTCAATAATTTTATTAACCCAAGTTCTGGTGTAAAGATGGAATATATCGGTCCACTCCATCAAGTACCTCCCCCACAAAGAGTCAACATTTTCAATACCCATGAAGCCTATAAAACGCGAAATTTACATCCGACTCCATTTAGACTTGGCTCATTTCAATATTTCTATCAACACACGATCTCTTATAGATATGGCAGAGATCGGACCATTCCTTCTGGTAAATCCCCCACAAAGGGTCAAAGTTTTGAATAACCAAAACGATTATAAAATCCGAAATAAACATCCGGTTCTCTTCATATTTCACACATTCCATTATTTTTACTAATACAAGATCTGCTGTGAAGAAGGAATATATCGGTCCAGTCCCTCTGGTATCTCTCCCACAAAGGGGCAACATTTTGTATAACCATGAAGCTCATAAAACACAAAATTAACATCCGATCCCATTCAGAAAACGCTCAAAGAAAGCGAATTATACCTCAAGGACGAACCCTATTGAAATTGGTGTGAATCGGTTCAAATTTAGACATGGTTTCATATATATCTTCAGCCGATTTCGTGCACCAAATGGTCAATATGACCTGAATTCCGACCTAGTTCAGTCTAGAAGCAAGTACATCGAATTCGGAGAAAATCGGCTCAGATATAGCTCTAGCTCCCATATATAGGTTTCAACCGATTGGGTGTTTAAGTCCCCCACATTCGTAATATGATATTTGGTACCAGATATATTATAGAGCTCGGAAACACCTCTGATAAATTTTATCAAGATCGGTTCAGATTTTGATATAGCTCTCATATATCTTCAACCGATTTTGGGTTAATTGTGCACCAAATAGCCTATATCAGTATAAATGACCTGTATTTTGGCACTTCCGACTGAATTCAATCTAGGAGCAAGTACATCGCATTTGGTTCAGATATATCTATAGTTCCCATATATATGTGCACCAAATTGCCAATATCAGTTCAAATGAGCTGAGTTTTGGTATATCCCACCGAATTCAGTCTAGAAGCAAGTACATCAAATTTGGTGAAAATCGGTTCAGATATATGTTTCATCCGATTTGGTGTTTAAGTCACTCACATTGATAACATGCACTCCACAACAATGGTATTTGGTACCAGATATATTATAGAGCTCAGAAATACCTCTGCTAATTTTTATCAAGATCGGCTCAGATTTGGATATAACTCCCATATATTTCCTTTATCCGATTTAAGGTTTAAATAATGGCTAATATCAGCCGAAATTGACTGAATTTCGGGACGTACGTATCCATTTTGTGCCACTCAGATCCGATACATATTTTTTTAATATAATCGTTCTCGGAGTGATATCATGCAATGTTATTTGGTATAAAAGATAAAAATTTCTCCGTCAAATTTAGTTAAAATCGATTCAGAATTGGATATGCCTCCCATAGAGTGACAATCTTTTGAATAATCATAACAGAAGTCAAAATATTTTTAGATAATCGCACATTGGTTGAGGGTATACATCTGTCGGCAAAACCGACTGATATTTTTATACCCTTCACCATAGTATGCAGGGTATATAAAGTTTGTCATTCCGTTTGTAACACCTCGAACTATACATTTTACACCCCACAAAGTATATTCTTGAACAGCATACAAATATATGTCCGTCCGTCTATGGAAATCACTCTAGCTTCCGAACGAAATAAGGTAGGTTGATAAAATTTTACTCAAATATATGTTATGTCTGCAGGAGTGTTGGTATTGAAAATAGGCCATGTAGGTCCCCATATAACGGTACCTCCTTATTTTCGATGTTTCGGTAATTTAAGTGACATTATTCACTGGAAATTTTGTATTTGAATTTCGTAATGAATACTATAGCCTATGACAGAAAATTGTCCGTGCAGGTCCACGCCTTCGTATAGACCCCATATAACGACTCTCCCCGATAATCGGTATTTTTATGATTTTAGCGACATTATTTGCCGGAATTGTATCAAATTTGGTATTTGAAGTTCGTAATGGATACTACTGCCTATGACAGAAAATTGTATGTGCAGGTCTACATCTTCGTATGGCCCCCATATAACGTCACCTCCCGATATTCGGTATTTTTATGATTTTAGCGACATTATTCAGCAGGATTGTTTAAAATTTGGTATTTGAAGTTCGTAATGGATACTAAAGCCTATGACAAAAAAACGTCAGTGCAGGTCCCTCATATAATGGTTCCTTTCTTTATTTGGAATGAACTACATTATGCACCAAATTTTTTTTAAAGTTTCGCATTTGAATATTGTATTGGCTTATGACAAATGTTGCCTGTGCAGGTCCACGGCGTCGTATAGACCCTAAATTAACGGCTTCATTCGGTATTTTTAAAATTTAAACGGAATTTTTAACGGATTTTATTTTTTTAAAAATTTGCCAAATTCGTTCCAAATGGTAAAGGGCATTCAAAGTTCGACCCGGCCAAATTTACAGTTTTGTACTTCTGTTTGACTTGCTTTTTTCTTTTTTCTTGTGTTCTACATAGCTACTAACCTTCTTACCTACTTTTTAAAGTATAGTTGAAAAATAATCGTACACAAATAGAAACTATATATAACTTTATTGTAGTATAAATTGCAATTGTACTAAAACTTCAAATAAAATAACGAATATCTTTTATTTTAATCCAAAAACATTGACGTACTTCTCTGTTTACCTAGGTCTATAAATATGATAAAAAATACGGGTTCGCATACACTTAAAATAGATTTTATCTTTATGAAAATATAAAATACAGTAGAACCTGCTACCAGTAAATACCTTCCATTTTTTATGGTATATATGTTTACGATGATAGCCTTTCGGATGATAGAGGCATTCAAATTTAAAAATTCCTTCATTTTCCACCCTCCTCCGTCTTCTTCAAAATATAATTATCCACAAAATCTTCCAACATATCGGTTAACCTCTGTCTATAGAATTCATCGGTATTGAAGGCCTTGAGGCAGATCTCCACTCGCTTGCGGGCAAAGAAATCACTAAAACCATCCGTGGTGGCTGTCAAGCACTGCGTCAATTCTGGTGGTAAAATTGTCAAATGAGAAAACAAACAACTCTCAATTAGGCCACAAATACGATATTCCTCAAAGGTTTTCCAAAATTCCTGGGTACTGAGGAAATCTTCAATATTCAATTGTTCACGTTTCAAAAATTCTCCCATAAAACGATAGTATTCCTGCAGCAATTCCGTTAGATATTTGGAACGGAATTCCCTTGAGCTGGGTATGGTTAGGAGGGTTATTAGATCCAACATCGGTGGGGCATACCTGGCCAACTGGAAGTCCACAAAACGACATTGAATTGGACTATCGCCATATTTACCATACTGGAACATGACATTATTGGCCCATAAATCTCCATGGGAGAAAACATTGCAATAGTCCTTCGAAGTTTGTGCCAAGGGGAATATAACTGACATTTTTGTCTTCAAATTCGACAAAATGTAGTCCAACTGCTTCTCATATTTCGGCATCTGCTTAATCAGTTCACCAAAAACCTCAACTCCATTGGCAAAATTCTGATAGCGAACATGTTTCTCATCCAGCTGACTGGGATAGGCATTCTCCTCAATGGCGGGCGGGAATATTTGATTAATCTTCACCCCTTGCTTAACCTCAAAAACAATCGAAGCGGCATGCATTGTGGCCAATGTCTTGACGGCACACTGTAAATGTTCATAGTCCAGTAGGCCATCCCGGCCAGCACCCATTCGATAGCCTCCTTGTTGGAGTTCTTCAAAAACCAAAAGATTGTTATCGGCATAATAGCATTTTGGGGCGACTCCGGGAAATATTTCCTGCAGCTGGGGCAGTACATCGCGATAGACAATGATTTCCTTTTTGAAAACTCCAAACTCCTCCAGATAGTCCATGCGTGAGGCAATCTCCACGGGGGCGGCTTTAGTGAAGAAACGTATCCTATTGAAGGCTATGGAGTCGCGGCCATCTTCACTTTTACTGCCAACCTGGACATCGATCACCAAATAGCGATGATGTCCCAGAAATCCTGAAGGACTATCCGAAATGGGTTTCAAATGGTAGCGTATCACATTCAGCTGTATATTATTAGGTGTTGTTGTTGCTTCTGCCACAGACTGGTGGCCAAAATATTGTTGGCACAGTCCTTCAATTTCATGGGGGGATAATTCTATTGCCGTGGCCATGTTGAGCTGAGATTTTTTAGATTTTTTTTTATTTTTTCTTTCCAAATTTTCTTGGCGCCCGTTGTCTTTTCTTGCCTTGCGACTTCAATTGCGAAATAGCACAATGATCTTGAAAACGAGATCTACTTAAACCCTGATGCCACCAACCAACCAACTCATTCATAAAGAGTTTATGACCCATTTCACGCTGATATCAAGTTGCCAGGGAAGAGCTCTGTTGTGATAAGCGAACGCTTTGTCGTGAAAGCAGCAACAGCAGCCGCAGCTGCAGCCCCGGGCATCAATAAATTACAAATATTTTATGATTTTCTGTGTTGTCTTGACGTTCAGCATTTGTGCACAATATTTGCATACGGATTTATTGTTATATTTTTACTTACCCTACACTTTTGGTCCATGCGAACTTTTTCGGAGATATATTTATATTTTTTTTAAAAAGTCTTTATCAGTTCAAAGGGACAGACAATTCTCCCCGTAAAATTGACCACTTATCAACAACGATCCCAATGGCGAGAAGCCAAAAATTGTCTCCTCAATTTTTATACCTCAGTTATATGGCTACAGAGGCTTTAGACCTCAGGTCTTTTTGGACTAAATCCGTTTTCGGGACGATTGGAGTCGATCTAGCGGTGTCCGTCCGTCCATCCGTCTGTCTGACTTTTGCCCACCAAAACTCTCGAATGGTGTATCCTATTTCATCAAAACTTGGCACATGAAAATATAATTAAAACCTCCTTCAACAAACCTCCTCCTTCTCCTTCTGGTACCTCACCCACAAAAGGTCGCAATTCGTTCAAAGAAAATATTTTACTGCAGAGAAAGGATAATCCGATTTTGCTCCAACTTTGCAAATTGTAAAATTTGCATCGGTGCTAGCTCAGGTGCGAAAATGGACAATATCGGTTCACTCCATCAAGTACCTCGCCCACAAGGGGTCAAAATTTTAAATAATTGTAAAGTGTGATGCATGTGTCCGATTGTGGTTATATTACACAAATCACAATATTTTTATTAACTCAAGGTCTGGTGTGAAGATGGAATACGTCGGTCCACTCGTTCTGGTACCTCCCCCACAAAGGGTCAAAATTTTGAATATTCTGAAGCTCCTAAAACACGAAATTAACATCCGATATCATTCAGACTTGGCAAATCTCAATATATTCATCAATACAAGATTTGTTATAAAAATGGTAGATATCGGACAATTCCTTCGGGTACCTCCCCCACAAAGGGTCAAAATTTTGAATAACCAAAACGATCATAAAATCCGAAATAAGCATCTGATTTTCTTCAAATTACACACATCACAATATTATTATTAATCCAAGATCTGGTGTGTAGATGGAATATGTCGGTCCACTCCTTCTGGTACCTCCCCCACAAAGGGTCGAAATTTCGAATATTCATGAAGCTCATAAAACACGAAATTTACATCCGATTCCATTTAAATTTTGCAAATCTCAATATTTTCATCAACAAATGCTCTGTTATAAAGACCATTTCCTCTCGTACCTCCCCCACAAGGGGTCAAAATGTTGAATATCCATGAAGCTCAAAAACGCGAAATTAACATCCGATTCGCTTGAGACTTGGTACATCTCAATATTTCCATCAACACAAGATTTGTCATAAAAATGGTAGAGATCGGACAATTTCTTCTGGTACCTCCCCCACATAGGTTTCAAGATTTTGAAAAACAAAAGCGAAATAAGTATCCAACTCTCTTCAAATTTCACACATCCAAACATTTTTGCTTACGGAAGATCTGTTGTGAAGATGATATATATCTGCGAACCCCTACTGATACCTCACCCACAAAGGGTCACAATATCCAATATTTTTATCTGTCATAACTTGCGAAACAAGTCGTCGATTCTTTACAAATTTCTATATTTCCATATTTCTCCCAACCAGATACCTGAGATGAATATGAAATTTTTCGGAATTTATGATTTCGCATTAAATTTGGATATAAATGTTCGATTTTCTTGAAATTTTGCCCATACCAATATTTTTATCTGTATTCGATGAAGTATGAAAATGGAGTACTTCTGTCAACTATATCTGGCACCTCAGGCATATTTCCCCATTTTCCAAAAATTTGCACATATCTCATATAAAGGATAGGAAGTAGTCAGTCTTAGGTCAGATACGAATTGGTCAATATTGGCTAACTGCTTCCGAATCTCCCTCATAAAGTGTCAATAGTTTGAATAATCATAACTCAAGCCTGGGGGTATTCATTTGTCGGCAAAACCGACTGATTTTTTTTAACTTGTTAAAATGTCATTATTTACCAGCAAATTTTCACTTGAATATCTCCTTACCCCAGAAACTGTATCTACATTCTTTTTTGAAAAAAAATGTAGATGCAGTATCTGAGAATTTCAAAAAATCCCATCCTACTAGTCAATACCAGTAGTACCTGCATGCAAAATTTCAAGTCTAGAGTAGCTACATAGAAATTTCAAATTTGCTACATTTCGTAACTTTAAGTACTCAAAAAGAGGGGAATTCCCCTTATCTCACCCCTGTACACCAGATGTGACAACCACACCAAATGCTTGCCTTTTTGAATAGATAGATAGATAGACTATCACATCAAGACATGTAGGGCAACCAGTTATCGGCCCTTTTGTCTATGCGTTTCTGTTACATTTTGTTTGTTGTTTATTTTTATCTGAATTGCCGGTAATTTTAGCACCCAACTTAATCTATTGTAGTAAAGAAACAAAGGAGACTTAGTTGGGATGCAGGTGGATTTTGTTTTCAGTTAACTGGCTAATCTTTAAAATATTTGAAATTTCACCTTCCTGTTGAATGAACAAAGCGTGTCGGGAAAATGATTCCATTATTATTAAATAAAGGTGTGCTAGTCCAGACAATAAAGGCATAGAAATAATGATGAAATAGCACAAAATCTCAAATTTGATATACCCTTGCACATAATTCCTCAATAATCTTATATGTACAAAACAAAGTTATTTGGGATCAAAAGTCAAAATTTTGTATTTTTAAAATATATTTTTATATCGTCCACCATAGTATGGAGGTTATATTAAGTTTGTCATTCCATTTGTAACACCTCGAAATGTACATTTTAGACCCCACAAAGTATATATATTCTTGATCAACATATCATTCTAGCTTTTGAACGAAATGAAGTAGGTTGATAAAATTTTACTCAAATGTATATTATGTCTGCAGGACTTTTGGTATTGAAAATGGGCCATGTAGGCCCACGTTTTGGTGTAGCTTCCATTTAATGGTACCTCCCCATTTTAGGTGTATGAAGTTTGTAATGGATACCTAAGACAGAAAATTTTCTGTCCAGGTCCACGTCTTCGTATAGCCCCCATATAACAGTACCTCCTGATATTCGGTATTTTGGTGATTTTAGCTACATTATTCACCGGAATTGTTTCAAATTTGGGATTTGAAGTTCGTAAGGGATACTACAGCCTATGACAAAAAAAAAATTTGTGCAGGCCTACGATTTGATATAGCTATAGCTGCATTATTCACCGATTTTTTTATCAAACAAAGTAGCCTCCGCGAAAAAAGACTAAATTTTTTTCTATAGGAAAAAATCCTTCGTGAAAAAAGCCTAATTTTTTTCGAACAGTGTTGGCTTGTTTTTTCGGGATACCATAGTATTTTGTTGTTGCCAAATGGTCAGGCTTAATCCCTTTATTGTTGTTTTTATAAAAACAACGTTGGTTTATTAGTGGAGAACGATCGCAGTGTTTACCAGGGGGTAAAGCAGGGAATACCTAGGTTTCGGAAAGAGCCACCAATCCTCATCAGTTCCCTTGTTTTTTGTCTGGGATATTCTCCCCAGAAGTTATTTAAAAAATAATTTCTATGACAAAAAAAAATTTTTTACCCAAGTGACGAGATCGTTTTTATAAAAACAACAATAAAGGGATTAAGCCTGACCATTTTGCAACAACTACATTTTTTTTTTCTATAAAAAATCCTACGTGAAAAGAGCCTACACTTTTTTCAATAGAAAAACAATCCTCAGGGGAACTGAGCCTAATTTCTTTTCTATAAAGAAAAATATACTCACTGGAACAGAGGCTGAATTTTTTACTACAGAAAAAAAATCTCAGTGAACAAAGGCGGAATTTTTTTCTATAGAAAAAAATAACCTGAATGGAACTGAGGCTAAAATTTTTTATAGAAAAAAAATCCTCAGTCAACTAAAGCTGCATTTTTTTCTATAGAAAAGTATCCTCAGTAAATTGAGGCTGAATTTCTTTTTTTTACCTGAACTGAGGCTGAATTTTTTTATAAGAAGAACTTACACCGCAGCTGAAAGAAAATAGACTCAAAAGAGCTAAAGAGTTGCTTCGCTTGGCCGAAAGTGGTAAACTGTCGAATTTGGTTTTCTCCGATGAGAAAACATTGGTTGTCCAGCAGTTTGATCGTGTTTACTTGCCAAAGAGGTCAACTGAAAATGTGCACCTTCGATTGACCACCAGGACTCAAGCGCCGGCCATGGTGATGGTGTGGGTCGCCATAACAGCCGATGGTCGTTCTCCGCTCGTATTAATCAGAATAAATGCCGAATATTATCGCGAAAATATTCTAGAGGGCATATTAAAGCCTTGGGCACGCAAACATTTTGGCCGCAGACCTTGGACATTCCAAAAGTACTCAGCACGCGCCACCCAAAAATGGTTACAAAAGGAGGTTCTTCGCTTCATTTCTAGCGCACAGTGGCCACCACAATCTCCGGATACCAGATAGTTGTAGTAAACCTTCTTTATGAAACCCCCCTTTGAAAATACGGCAGTCCCTATTCTCATCTTTACAAAAATTACAAACTGAAGCATTGTATAAAAAAATATCCCCTTAAAGTCGACATTTACGACTCAACTCTTCCTAAAAACCAAGTGGATATACAGATGTTTTTTTTTTGTTTTTTTTTTTAAATAACTATTAAAAATTAAAATTTAAATCTCTTAAAGATTCCGAAATATTTTTCTAAAAAAAGTCCACCATGAGAATCAAAAATAACCCAAAAAATCCACGTGATAGCTAAAATATTCTCCGAAAAGTTCATAAGTTCTCTGAAAATTATTCGTAAAAAATCCACACTTATAGATCTGAGGGTCGGTGGAAAAATATTCTTAGAAAATCCGCGCATGATGTTATATTTAATTTTGAAAAAAAAAATATATAAATTTGCTAGTTCTTCAAAAAAACGCTATTTCAAAGGCATTCTTCACTCTGTAATTCCTAACTTGCTGATCGCCGCTACAACATTGCCAACCATCTACATTTTACTTTACCCCCAAAGGTTGATGTCTTGACTAAACTTTGAAGCACTTTTCAATTGGCCAATTTTAACTTTTCATTACGAAAACCTCTAATTCTCGTTTCCGACTTAAACTTTTTTATGAGCCACTGCTAAAGCTTTGTTTCACATTTTAGCCAAGAAAACCCAAAAATGAAGAGGCCAACTCTTCGCCAGCCATGTACACGCTTGCCACAAGCCAACAAATGTTTGAGAGCGTGAGGATGAAAACGTGAAACATTTTTTTTTTTTTTTTTTTGTGGGAAGGTTTTTTACTTCGTGCAAAACTCAAATTCGAAACAGTTGTTTACGAGACGCGTTCGTTTAAACTTCGTTAGGCGCTTTTGTTGCCAGCCCAAAGCCAGCGATTCATCCAATTCAAATCGAAACAATCAACGGAAATTGTAAATATTTAAATGACAAAAACAAAAAACCCAAAAAAAAAATAAAAACAATTAAACGGTTTTGAATTCGTGTAAATTTGTTGTAAAACAAAGCAAAAAAAATTCAGTTATGTGATCGGCACTTGATGCAATGCGGATTTTTTTTCTCGTTCATTCATTCATTCATTTGTTTAAACTCTGTGTTTTCTTGTTTGATTACCCATTAAACCCAGAGTTTTGCAAAATTGTTTCTTTTTTTCTGTTTTGGTTTCAGTTAAACGGATTTAAGGCCGACAGCAACAACAACTACAACATCTTCGCGGTACTAACTACAAGATTTGTGTACTTGTGAATCTTAGCCACATATCGAGGTTGCAAAAATATCGAAAAACTCATCAAATTTTAATTTTGAAATTCGTGTAACGATCTCAACAACAACAACAAAACGGAAGATGGAAAAAATGTGAGTTTTGAAATCATCGAAAAGGCAATATGACGAGAGGTCTATTTTATAGAAAGTGTAATTAACAAGAAATAATGACGGTTTAATGGTTAAGATGTGACAATAAGAACGGAATGTGTTTGACAACAAAGAATAACAACAAAGATGTCAACAAGGCCTCACAGGTTCTCAATGAAAGTCGAGCTTCCAGAATAAAAAAAAATAATTAAAAGAAGTGATCAATTTTGAGATTAGAAACAATTTTACCATCGTTCTTTGAGGAATTTTTCTAAAAAAATCAAATTAAGAAATGTCAAAAATCGGGAGGGAAGACCCTATAGTACCCTTCACTGAGGCAGATTTTTTTTCACCTCAGTTCACTGAGGCAGATTTTTTTCATATAGTAAAAAATTCGGAACCTCAGCTTACTGAGACAGTTTTTTTTCCATAGAAAAAAATTCGCAACCTCAGTTCACTGAGGCTGACATTTTTTTCCGTATAGAAAAAAATTTGCAACCTCAGTTCACTGAGGCTGACATTTTTTTCCGTATAGAAAAAATTCGCAACCTCAGTTCACTGAGGCTGACATTTTTTCCCGTATAGAAAAAAATTCGCAACCTCAGTTCACTGAGGCGTATTTTTTTCCTATAGAAAAAAATTCGGAACCTCAGTTCACTGAGGCGTATTTTTTTCCTATAGAAAAAAATTCGGAACCTCAGTTCACTGAGGCGTATTTTTTTCCTATAGAAAAAAATTCGGAACCTCAGTTCACTGAGGCGTATTTTTTTCCTATAGAAAAAAATTCGGAACCTCAGTTCACTAAGACTGATTTTTTTCACATAGAAAAAAATTAGGAACCTCAGTTCACTGAGACAGATTTTTTTTTTTTTCGTATAGAAAAAAATTCGCAACCTCAGTTCACTGAGGCAGATTTTTTTTCGTATAGAAAAAAATTCGGAACCTCAGTTCACTGAGGCGTATTTTTTTTCCTATAGAAAAAAATTCGGAACCTCAGTTCACTGAGGCGTATTTTTTTCCTATAGAAAAAAATTCGGAACCTCAGTTCACTGAGGCGTATTTTTTTTCCTATAGAAAAAAATTCGGAACCTCAGTTCACTGAGGCGTATTTTTTTCCTATAGAAAAAATTCGGAACCTCAGTTCACTGAGGCGTATTTTTTTCCTATAGAAAAAAATTCGGAACCTCAGTTCACAGAGGCGTATTTTTTTCCTATAGAAAAAAATTCGGAACCTCAGTTCACTGAGGCGTATTTTTTTCCTATAGAAAAAAATTCGGAACCTCAGTTCACTGAGGCGTATTTTTTTCCTATAGAAAAAAATTCGGAACCTCAGTTCACTGAGGCGTATTTTTTTCCTATAGAAAAAAATTCGGAACCTCAGTTCACTGAGGCGTATTTTTTTCCTATAGAAAAAAATTCGGAACCTCAGTTCACTGAGGCGTATTTTTTTCCTATAGAAAAAAATTCGGAACCTCAGTTCACTAAGACTGATTTTTTTCACATAGAAAAAATTTAGGAACCTCAGTTCACTGAGACTGATTTTTTTCACATAGAAAAAAATTCGGAACATCGGCTCTGCATTTTTTTTCCTATAGAAAAAAAATCCTCAGTTGTGAATTTTTTTCTATAGGAAAAAAATCTTCAGTGGATCTAAGCCCTAACTTTTTTCTATAGAAAAAATCGTAAGTGAAACCGAACCTTAACTTTTTCTATAAAAATTCTACTCAACCTCTCTCTAAACGGAATCTTTTTTTCCATAAAAACAATTGAACATAATCTTCATTAGCCAATGGTGTTGTGCCGCAAATATGGCACGCCACATCCATATTTTATTGACCAACACACATTATTGACTGGTAATACCTCGCTTTTGTTTTATGCCGGTAATGTAGGTGATGATGATGTCGAGCTTTTCTGATGGTCAATGGTATAATAACACCAGTTAATTTATTGCCCCCTAATTGTTGTCAACAAAACTAAACGCTGGTAGGCACTCGGTTGTTTGGTTAGCTGCCTTGCAATTCGGAAGCAATGAACTAACAAAATAAGTAAATAAACAAATAAACAAACAAACAATATTGGCAAATTGTTTATTGGGCTATTGTCTTCAACTATTTGCATAAATTTGCTAATCATCAATTGCGTAATACGCGCGTATGTCAGTAGTGTATGTTTGCTGCAATTGCGGCTAATATTTTTGGGTTATATGCAGCGGCACAGAGAGAGAATTAGGTGTGTGTGTGTGGACAATGTGTTTGTTATAACCCACACATCTACAAGGTCTCAAAATCAATATTGAGAAGAATATTTAAGAAAATTTATTTTTAGAGATATTAACATTGTTTTTTTATACCCTCCACCACATTGTATGGAGGGTATATGCAGTTTGTCATTCCGTTTGTAAAACCTCGAAATATACATTTTAGACCCCATAAAGTATATATATTCTTGATCAGCATAAAATTCTGTGTCGATTTAGCCGTTATGTGGAAATTACTCTAGCTTCCGAACGAAATTAAGTAGGTTGATAAAATTTTATTTATTATGTCTGCAGGACTTTTGGTATTGAAAATGGGTGATGTAGGTCCACGTTTTGGTATAGCCCCCATATAATGGTACCTCCCTTTTTCGGTATTTTGGTGATTTAAGCGACATTATTCAGCGGAAATCAAATTTTGAAGTTCGCAAGAGGTACTTCTGCATATGACAGAAAATTGACTGTGCAGGTTCACGTCTTCGTAGAGCCCCCATATAACGGTGCCTCAGGATATTCGGTATTTTAATGATTTTATGGACATTTTTTTACCAGAATTGTTTCAAGTCTGGTATTTGAAGTTCGTAATGGATACTGCAGCCTAAGCCAGAAATTTGTCTGTGCAGGTCCACCTCTTCGTAAAGCCCCCATATAGCGGTACCTTCCCATATTCGGTATTTTAATGATTCTAGGGACATTTTTCACCAGAACTGCTTCAAATTTGGCATTTAAAGTTCGTAATGGATACTACAGCCTAAGACAGAAAATTATATGTGCAGGTCCACCTCTTCGTAAAGGCCCCATATAACGGTACCTCCCAATATTCGGTATTTTAATGATGTTGGGGACATTTTTCACCAGAATTGTTTCAAATTTGATATTTAAAGTTCGTAATAGATACTACAGCCTATGACAAAAAATTGTCTGTGCAGGTCCACGTCTTCGTATAGATTTTATCGACATTATAAACGATTTTTTTTTTAAGTTTCGCATTTGAATATTGTAATGGCTTATGACAAATGTTACCCACGTAGGTTCATGTCGTCGTATAGACCTTAACATAATAGCTACATTCGCTATTTTTAAGATTTTAACAGAATTTTTAACGAATTTTATTGTTTTTGAGAAATGCCAAATTCGTTCCAAATGGTGGAGGGTATTCGAAATTCGGCCCTGTCGAATTTACAGCATTTTTACTTGTTAGTACTCAAAATGCATATTTTGTTCAGTTTGACAATATTGTTTACCCTCAACCAAACTGTTACAAATTTAGTACCATTAAATGCAATTATAGAACACATTTGCAAATATATCTCCATATCAGAATACAAGATATAAACACAGACGTAAATATCTAATTTGAGGATTCCTGAACTAACCCTTCACCTAATACCAAATTTTAGTACCACTTAGTACTTTTCGTACAAATATAGCATCGATTTCCAAAACCACCTCCATACCTCGATTCCAGATATCAACAAAGACCTCAATATAAAATTTGAAGATTTCAGCCCTAATCCTTCACTAATTTCCAAATTTAGTACCATTTATTACCTTTCGTTACAATAATTCACTCTTCCAAAAATCACCTCCATATGTCAAGGCAACACATGAACAGCAACTCTCATTCAAAATTTAAAACTGCACACACTTTTCCAAATTTAGTACCATTTAGTCTTTTATGGTAGACATTTCAAAACCACCTCAATATCTTAATTCCAGATATCAACAGAGACCTTAACATCAAATTTGAGGATCCAAGAGCTATCCCTTTATCCAATACCCAATTTAGTACAATTTAGTTCTTTTCGCTCAAATATAAGACACATTTCCATACCACCGTCAAATCTCAAGCACAGATACCATTATCAAATATCAAATCTGACTATCAAATTTCAAAATTTTATCTCTATCCCCTCACCCAATATAAAATATAGCACCATTCATTACTTTTCGTACAATAATAGCACACATATCGAGACCACCTTCATATGATGAGGCTAACAACGACCCTAATGCCAAATTGCTGGTTTCAAGCACTATCTGTTCATAAAATACCAAATTATACCAAAAATAGTACCAATTAGTACTTTTCGTGCACTTGGGGTACACATTTCCAAAACCACCTTCATACATAAAACCTATCTTGGAAACCTGGAAACTTTGATTCTCATACAAAATTTCATGGTTTTAACTCTATTCGTTCGCATAATACCAAAGGGTACCATTTTAAAAGTTTAGTACAATTTTAGAACTTTTCCTAACCTTAAATTTAGAATTTCCAAAAACCCTTGGTACATCTATCAAACACTTCTTTAGTGGCTCTCATTACGTTTGTCCAATACAAAGTATTACGACTTTTGTACCGGACCGAGTTACAATAGATATACCGGACCGAGTTTCACCAAATGGAAAAATTCGGTTGAATGTGTGGTGAACAATAACCGTAAAATCGGATGAAGATGTATATCGGAGGTATAAAAAAATCTGAATCGAACTCGACAAATTTTGGCAGAGGAATTTTCGACTTGTATCTGATGTCTGGTATTAAATCCTCATTGTTGTGGAGTTCATATTAGAATGTGAGGGATAAGCCATTTGATGCACAATAAACCTGAAATCAGATAAACATATATATGGGAGCTATATCCAAATCTGATCCGACATTGAACAAAAATTTAGGGGCTTATTTCTGAGCTGTATCTTCTATCTGGTACCCAAGATCATTGTTGTGGAGCTCATATTACGT